CCACCCGACGAGTTGAGTGTCGGTGACGCGTGTTTCAGACTCCCAATGCATCCTTCCGGTGGAGACGCAATTGTGATCTTAATTTTAGTTTGTGGTTTTCATTCGATAAAGTCGTCGAGGTCACGGCATGCTAACGAAAACTGACGTGCAGGCCCGAAATAGCACGCGTGAGATCAGATCCTTAAGCACGCATCTCGAGTCAGTCCGCGAATGAGGCTCGTCGCACTCCTACGTAATTTCCATTTTGTCTTCGGCTACAAAAAGGTTTAGTCGTAACTTTTTCATAGTGGCGTTTATCTATGCCTCATAAGCGTGGCACAGGACTTCGTATCTTCAGATGGATCGCAGGTTATTTGGCGACGCTGTATAGACTGAAGAGGTTTTTAGTGTCGATATAATACAGTGATCATGTTTCAGCGAATATGAAATAATTGCGGTTAAAACTGTCGTGAGCTCTTTGAAGGAACTACCCCCATTATTTGCCATGAAAGACGGAGGAAAACCACGATAGGCCTGTCAGGATTCCGGGAACTTTCCTAATACAGTCAGAAGAATTAAAATATGGGACGATTTCTCTGTAACTATAAACTTAGTTTGATTTTAGATCGTGAATGATTAGTAGATTTTCCTGCTTCATATTCGAGGGGTCCTGGATTTGAATTCCGGGCCGGAAGCTGACTAACCTAACTCAAGTTTTTTCCCATGGTTTGTGATTCCAGGCATATGCGTCATTAAATGACGTAGTAATGCACCAATCTGATCAGGTCCATCAGTTTACATGAAATGCGGTCGGAAGATAGTGTGATCGGACATCACTCTGAAGGCAATTTCTTATCCCTATGTTCGATACCGACATATCGATCATAACATGTCGATCATACGAATTACTTAATGAATGAGTGTAGGGTCTTCAAAATGCGAATGATGACAGATGTTTCTAAATCGATTATCGATTTTGTTACGCTCGTTTCCGTCTAAATCGGAAAAGAGCACGTCAGACCTGGAATTAACTATGTAGGTCAACGTTTAACGAGCCATTTTGGATTTTAGTAGTTTACTTAGCAACGATGTAGGATGGTTGTGGACTATTTTAAAATATATTAAATATATATTAAATGATGTTCTCTATCGAAATGTTCGATTTATATTTAAGTTTATATAATTTTATACACCTGAAGATGGTTCTTTTAGAACTGAAACATGTTGTGTAAAAATTGATGATCTAATGTAAAATCTAACATTTCGATAGAGAATATCATTTAATATATTTTAAATATTTAAATGTTAATTATAGTAATATTTTAATATTTAATAGGAATTTTTAGTGATTAGACTGACAAGATTTAAACAAATATATATTTATCACAATATGACGCAATTTTATCACCTTAATCATAATCGTTAACAGCCTGCCAATAAACTTGTTGATTTCTTC